TTAATTGTCTGGGTTCTTTTTTTAAAATTAATTTTAATGAAAATTTACAGAGACTTAGGGTTTCCAGTCTTTCATCGTTGCACTTTTCTCCCTACCCTCCTCCTTCCCCCCAATTCACTCTTCTTCTTGAAAAGAAAGAAAAACTCTTTCATTGTTATGCAATCCCTCCTCCCCCAAGTCCACTCCACTATGCAGCCTTTACTCTGGAATTCTGTAATGACAAGAATAACCATTCATATATCCCTTTTAAACAGTTCTCTCCCTCATCTGTTTTATACTTCAAAACAGATTGACTCAAAACATACCTTTCATTAATCTTTCTCTCTGTGTGTGTGTCACACGTACATATCACACACACACACACACACACACACACACTTCATTGCCACGGAGATGAGATCAACTCATAGCTGACCCTCCAGTGGGTTTTCAAGGCTGCAAATCACGTAGACTTCCCATTATTCTCCCACAAAACCATTAGTGGATTCGAACTGCCAGGGAAGTGTCACCTTTGGGTTAGCAGTATAATTCCCTACACACAATATCCCATTAATGAAACAAAGAAGACCCATTTTCAATGGAATTATAACCATAAATATAAAACCCATTGCCTTCCAGACGTGTTACTTCCAGTTTGTATGAACCCTGTAGGACAGAGTGGAAGTGACCTGGAGGGATCCAAATGTTGTAATCTTTATAGAAGCAGGCTGACACGTCTTTCTACTATAGAGTGGTTGGCGAGGTCAAGCCACTAATAATTTGTTTAGCTTCCAACTGCTTAACCACTGTACCACCAGGGCTTCATGGCCAGAGGTTTTGTTGCTATGTTCTGTTGAGTTGGAGCCAACTCATAGGTGACTGCTTAATGATTTTCAGAGACTATACATCTTACGGGAGAAGACTGTCCATCTTTTCTCTTAGTGCCACTGTTGGACTTGAACCACCTGCCTTTGGCTTGGCAGTGCAACTCCTTACTACCAGGCCACCAGAGCTCCTTAACCACAGACATATGGATTAAGGGTGTGGGGTAATACACTTCAACCTATAACACTGAGGAATTAAGTTACTAATTTTTAAAATAGTAATATCTACATTGTGGTGGTGGTGTTGATTGCCTTTGAGTCAAGCACAACTCAATGACCCTATGAACAAAAGGCCTGAAGTCCATCTACAACTATCAACATTCATCAAAGTTCATAGAGTTTCTGGAGGCATGTTATATAGGAAGTGGAGGAAGAAAAAAAATGTTTAATAGCTTAAACTACTCTCAGATGTGTCTTATTCATGACCAGGAAAGCAAGCTAGCTATGTTTTGAAGGATCTCTTAAATTTCAAGGCTACTTTTTTTCTTCTTCTTAAGTTCTCTTCCATTCCTAATGTACAGTAATAGTTATTTACATTTTCTGTTTTTACTCTTCCAAGGAAACTAGTAGTGCTACATGCTGCAGTTGGCAGACGAGGTACATATCTGGGACATTCCTAAAGTTCACAAAAAGTGGAAAAAAATATTCCTAGCAAGAAATCATCTGTAATAATTTATACCTGGCTGCATTTCTTTATACCTGTAACATGTCCTGGAGGTGTATTTCTTTTTAATTCTGTATATTCTATCACCATGACCTTTTCAGTAACATGCTTATAGCTTTTTATTTCTTAAAAAAAAAAACCCAAAAAGGAACTTGAACAGCTCTATCTATGAATCTTTACATCATCAACCTTGGCCAGAAAGATCTGGAAAGATCTGGGCATGGCCTCTTCTGCGGGACAGGGTCTACTCTACTACAGATGGGGCTCAATTCAGATCAACATCAGGTAGACAGGGTGCTGTGATAAAAAAATGTAGGTGCTGGAGGCAGGCAACTTTGGCTTTAATCCTGGCTCTCTCAGTTAGTAGCTAAGTGACCTTGGGCAGATTTTTTTCACCACTGTAGGCCTTGGGCTCTCCATATTCATAATGGGAGTTCATATTCATATTCGTATCCATAGTGCAAAGCAAACAGTGGCTGTTGACGTATACCATCGAGTCAGGACCAAGCCATAGCTGACCCTCCAGTGTGTTTTCAGAGACAGTTAATTGCATGGGAAGAGATTGCCCATCTTTCTCCCATGGAGCAGCTGGTGGATTTGAACTCTATGCTTTCCAGTTTACAGTGCAGCTTCTTGCCACTAAGCCACCAGAGCTCTCTTAAGGGTGGTTTGTTGTTGTTGTTATATGTGATTGAGTTGCTTGCGACTCATAGCAACTCTAGGCACAATAGCTCTGAGCCCTGCTTTGCCCTGAGCCAATCTCACTGTCTCTGGTATACCTACTCTTGTTATCCAAGTTACTGTGTCATTCATCTCATCCAGGGGCTTCCTCTTCTGCACTGTCCCTTGACCCTTCTAAGCATGATATGCCTCTCCAATAGACTGGCCCCTTCTGGCAATGGCCAAAGTATGTGAGGCGGATCTAAAAATCCTTGCCTCCAAGGAACAGTTTGGTTTCACCCCCTCAAGGACAGACCATTTAGTTCTCTTGGCAGGCCATGGTATGTTCAAAACTCATCTCTAGCATCACAATGTACAGCTTTCAATTCTTCTGTCACCCTTGTTCATTGTACAGCTCTCTGATGCATAGCAAGTAAATGCAAAAATCCATGGCCTGGATCAAGCACACCTTAGTCTCTAGATTGACATCCCTGCTCTTCAGTACTTTAGAGAGTTCCCTGACAGCAGAGTTCCCTAATGCAATTCATCTTTTAATTTCCTGACTGCTGATGCCAAAAGTGTTGATTGTGGAACTGAGAAAGCTGAAATTGTTAACAATCTCAATCTCTTCTCTATCACGATCCTGCTGACTAGCCCAGTGGAGAGAATCTTTGTCTTCTTGTTCTTGAACTCCAATTTATATTGCAAGCTACAGCCTTAACCCTCTGCTGCAGATGCTTCGGGCCCTTCTCAGTTTCAACAAGTGTGGTTGTGTCATCTGTATAACACAGGTTGTTCATGAGTCTTCCTCCAATCCTGATTCCACATTCCTCCTCGTTAAGTCTAGCCTCTCAAATGATCTGTTCTGCATAGAGATTGAAAAATTGTGGAGACAGGAAACAAAATAATTTGTTATTTATGGGGTGCTTAGAACAGTGTCTGGAGAGCGTAGGTGCTAAGTCTTTACAAATTAAAATTAGATCTTTTTTCCTAGTATAGAACTCTGTCTGACTCAGTTGCTTGGTCCAAATGTGTGCCCACTCTGTGGGTGTTTTTGAATTTATAACCAGGGAACTCCGTGGAGTTATGTGATTCTCTCCAAATAGAATGCATATCCTTCAGAGAGATTTTACATTCATTTTCCTATTTTATACTCACAGTAATCTGCTGAGCAGAGCAGGACAGCACGATCCTTGTTGAGGCAAGAGGAAAGTTGCACTGCTAACCCCAAGGTGGTGACTCTAGTGGTTTGAATCCACCAGTGATGCCCTGGAAGAAAGATGGACAAAAAACTTAGAGCCTCTGAAAATCTACTCTAGGGTCAGTGATGAGTTGATCTTGACTTTACAGCAATGAGCTGTCATTGAGTTGAATTTATGCCAATATAAGATATTTGACCACCTGAGCTCACAATTGTTTATGGAGCACAGATTCAGATACTGTCAGGATGACTTCTTCTCCAGTGTAAGGGACAAATGTTATTAAATAAAAAAGAAAATATATCAACTGTAATTGACTTTGTAAGAGGACTAACAAACCCAAACACAGTATGTAGTATCTGTATGCTACAGCATGTATTATCTTTATGCATAAGATTGGTTTTTTCTCCCTTGTTACTTTAATGTGGGCTGGTTTTATACATCCTTTTCAGAACAAAAGGCATCCTGATGATGTGATGAGTTAAGTATTGGACCTCAAACCAAAAAGCTGGTGGTTCAAATCTACTAACAACTTCGTGGGAGGAAGATGAGTCAATCTGCTCTCATTAACATTACAGGCTTATGAATCTTAAAGGGCAATTCTACTTTGTTCTGTAGGATTCTTACCAGTTGGAATAAACTCAATCAGAGTAGGTTTGCTTTTTGAAGTTTTTAAGAAAACAAAACTAACTGTAGTATTGTTAAAGGAGCCAATGCAACAGGAGGATGGCCAAGTATGACTTCTTCCCACTTCATTAGGGGAACTGTCCTCATCAATAATATTCATAGCAACAAATAGATAGCTAGCTACTCATTCATACATGCTGCCCCCAGGCTCTTGCTCCTCTTTTTTACCAATCATTCAGGTCTGATGGTTGTTGTTGACCCACAGACTTTACTTACAGTTATGGGGTTTATTAGGGAAATAGGTTGGAAAGTAGGGGAGGCAAAGGATATCTCACAAATATAAGTCCAGGTTTAGTCTAACAGTCCCAAACCAGATTAACAGAAAGAACTATTCCTCAGTTAGTGAAATTACAGGTTTCAGTTCAGCAGCACAAATTCAAGAAGCCTCTGGCTTCTTCAGTCACCTAGCAAACTTTATCTCAGAGCAGTTACAAGTCAGCTTTTCCAGGTTTCAGTTCAGTAAGCAAAACCTTTAGCTGTAGCTACCTTTCCAGGGTTCTTCTGGTTACACCTTATCACAGTCTCTTCACAGCAATGCCACAGTCTTTTAACCCTCTCTCCACCACCATCATTACCAGGGTACCTCACAGTACGGAAAACTTTCGCTCTTATATTAGTCCCACAACTGTTGATGATTTGCAAGACCATGGTTCTGCAGTTAAGGTAGCTGGAGACCATATCCCAGCAGGGTTAACCCAATGACTAAAGGATCCAATTTTTAAGGCTCACCCCAACTATCTTGAGACTCTACATGCTTAAGATCAACTAATAGGATCAAGAGGCATACTGGACATTTTTAGAGCTGTTGATTATTTGGAATCAAGTGCTCGCTGGGTTACAGTGGAACTACGCATTTGGATATGTGACTCCTGGGAGTGTTATGATTTGAAATGTTTTCTCAGTTCAGCTTGTAATCTTGTTCTGCAGATTCATCCTTCACACTCCAGCATATGGTGGGTGTTGGACTGGCCTCCATAGCTGTTGTGATCATCCTGGCATTCCTGTCCTTTTCGGCAGTGTGGTATGTGGCACTGTCATGTTTAAGGAATGAGTGGAATGGAGGGAGGATGGGACTGGAGTAATGAACAGCTGGAGAAGCCAAAGGAAATGTGAGTGGGAGGTTGTAATACTTTTAAGAGTACACTCAGCAAGTGAAAGGCCTGGCTAACCCCACACCTCAGTGTAGGTAGTGGGTAGTAGAGGCTGCTCTGGCCAATCACAGAATGCTGACTGATCTCGTGTCCTGCTCACTCTCCCCCATATCCCATGAATATATGGCTGAATATATGGGTATGCAGTGGGAAACTGGAGGGTGTCCACATTTGTCTCATCTATTTCTCCTTCTCCATGTATAGATGGCAGTCTGGCACTGTGTGGGAAGGATATCCTGCTGCCAGCGAAGGTGTTATGACAGCCTCTCAGGTGATTGCACAGAAGTTCACTTGGTTTCCATCCCAAGATGTGTGGGCCTTCAACATTCTCCAGATCAGCTGTGTTCTTGGATCTTGGATGCTAGTTATCTATTTGTAGACTCCTGGAAGGAGAAAGTTCAGGAATTGTCAATGTCTTCTCTGCTACAGATAAATTCTGTGTCAACGAACCTGAGACTTTTGATATACAGTATGGTATTGGTCATCAGTTACAGATCTGGTAGAGCTGTGCCATGTCTTCCTCTGAGCGATGCCTGAGAGTCCCTGCATCCTCCTTTATAGCATCTCTGTCAGCTATTTCAGACTCCTTTCACTCACAGCATGTGATGAGATGGTCTTAAATTTGGGCTGCAGTTTCACTTTATGAGGGAGGTCATTGAAAAGGATAGAAAACAGCAAATTTTTAAAGCACTTTAGAAGCAGCTGTTTCTTATACTAATTAGAAAGTACACTAGTCAGTACACTAACAAATATCTAATCAATATTCTCTGTTAGGCAGACAGTGCCTAATCTCTCCCAGGCAGCATTGCTTTGATTCAGTCCCAGTTGCCCTGTATATTCTAAAAAAGACTGTATTCCAAGGAAAGATATTCTGTATTTAAATTGCTCTTCCTGGTTTAATTTTTATTGTTGAAGACCTTCTAAGAGTGCTAAGTGCCTTCCCTTAGGAATTTTCATTTGGGGGTTAGGGTAATACCAGTGGGCTGAAACAATATCAAGTCAATGGCCATAGTCCTTGTGTGTGCCTCAGGGAGGGGAGCATTGGTGGCTGACATGATCATCCCTTTCATTTGCAAGCTCAATAACTGGAATGTTGCTATGCCAGGTATGTCAGCAACACTAGGCCTACTGTCAATATGCTGCATTTACAGGTAGAAGGGATGAAATTTCACTTTTAAACTCTGAATCAGTTCTCTTTAATTTTCTTTCCCCATTCTAATAAAAATGAATAATATGGGACGGAGGCTTATGGCTTCTGTAAGCTGCAGTGTTAATTTTTTCTCTTATCCCACTGCCTTTCTAGTCCTGGAAAACAGGCAGAATAGGGAAAGAGAAAGGATGATGGCTGCATTGCATAGCTTCAGGAAGCAGCATAATGTAAACATGTCTTTGAAGTGATGCAAGCCTGAGATCCGGAGGGGAAGTCTGCCCCATGCTGTGGACTGTCAGGTTATTTGCTGGCTCCCTGAGCTTCAGTAGGGCTCACATCTGAGTAGCTTGGACTAGTGGGCAGATGAAGAGACAGACAGTTGGATTAAATGTTTGGAATAAATGGAAACTGCTCCCCCTTGGGGTTGTAGGATCAGAGTGTACTCCATGGGGAATAGTCAGGGGGACATTCAGTGCTGGCTGTCAGTCTTGTTACAAGATGGTTGTGAGTGTTGGAATCAGAAATTATCATTTAGGGTCTAGATACTACCTCAGACCAATTTAGGATTAACATTTAAAACTCTCTATTCATCTTAGATGGGTTATGGAGGAAAGCTCTTCATAAGCTGATGCACATAGCTCTGTAATTTCTATGTGTGACAATTTAATTTTATTTTCATAATTATTGAATAAATTTGGAATGATTACAGTTGATTTGGGTTAAAGTAATGCAGGGCCTTTGATAAGTAAGAATTTTTCTCAAGCTCTTCTTTATCATAAGAGAGAATCTGAGTCTTCTATTCATACTTACTTTTCACCAGTTTGGTAAGCAGTTGGTTGGTACAGCCTTCCCCCTCACTAAAAATAAGCCCTGTAATTAACTACCAAAGAAGCTACACCTATCCTCATGGAAACTTAGAATAATTGTCACTGAAAGGAAGAATCCCTCTTGCTATGTAACCAGAGTTCCTAGTTAAGGAAAATAACTGCACATACTAAGCAACGTATCAACTTTTGTAAAAATATAAAAATAGTTCATGAGAAATGACGAAAATAGAAAAGCAAATGGACTTTGCCACTTCCTGTAAATGTTCCAAACGATAATGTTAATACTTAATGGAAGCAGGTGCTGAGCTTTTGCAAAAAGCATGTGCCATTCATTTCTCTGAAGCTAATTTGTAATAGTATTTTCTTAGGTATGACCATCACTTTAAGTTCTCTAAAGTCTGTTGGTAGCTATGCCACACTGTGATATTTTTTTTGGTCTGAGTGAATTCCAGGGTGATGGGGGAAGTGACCTCAAGAGACTGAGAGTCTTCCTGATGAAGGTGAAGTTCTTCTGGGAAAGGGCTGATCCAGGTGGCCATCTGTGGACAGGGGTGTTGAGCTGAGCAGAGCTGTACTAAAGCTGGATCCTACAGAAAGAGTCTTTCTCTCTTTATTTCTGGGGTGGTTTATGGAGGTGAGCATTAACTAATGTCTTGAGCTTCCATATCGATCAGGAATCATCTCTAGCAGGGGCCTCTGTCAACTGTGAATCATATTATCCCCTGGCTGATATCTTTGTGCCGCTTAACCAGCTGCCTATGGGTAATTCCAACTCACTTTAACACCTTGTATGCAACGTAAACCAGTGCTTTATGGGTTTTAATAGCTTTTTTATTTAGAAGTAGATCATCAGGCTTTTCTTCCAAATGTCAACTCAAACTTCTAACCTTCTGGTTAGCAGCTGAGTGCATTAACCGTTTGTACCACCCAGTATGTGTTGGTCTCCTTGGGTGGACAGCAGGTCCATCACACACATTTTTTTTTCATTCTACCCTCACAACCATTCCTTTGTTTGGAAGGTCAGAGTTTACTGAACCTCATTTTAGGAATGAAGAAACAGATTCAGACAAATAGATGATTTGAAGTTGTGTTCCCGAGTCTTCTGACTGTAAGTCAAATTTACTTTCCTGGAAATTGATAGGCCTTAAACAGTGTCATGTTACCCAAAAAGCAGGGTAATACAGGCTTCTTTTGTTTACTAATCGGTAGTGAACAATTGCATACATAGCTAGCTTACTTAATCTGCTCATGCCCGAGCTAGTTACTGAGATAATCCTTACATTAGCTCTTTTGATTCTTGGGAAAGTCAGCCTAACAAGTCAACTCATTTCTGTTATGTCATAACCAACTTACAGTTGGCCAACCAGTAAGTTTTCAGAGACTGTAAATCACATGGGCGGAGACTGCCCTTCTTCTCCTGAGGAATGACTGGTGGAAGGCCTCTCAGTGTCCCAACAATAATTTTTTTATCTTTGCCTTTAATGTGATCAAGTATGTGCCTTGATGCTCTATAAAGTACTTCTTCCCTCATTTCTGAAGGAAGCGACAACTAACAAACAGAATGCAGTTAACTAGGAGAAATAGGTAACGGCTAGTCTGACAAAAGACCTGTGGTTGCAGCCAAACACTTAGGACCAGAGCAGAAGTGATTATCTTGAAATTCTACATTGCTTTGAAATAAAGATCAATATTTAAATTGGTTTGAAAGGAAGTAAAAAAGAACTCTCAGTGTCCCCTTTTATTGCTAATCTCACTTTCTGGTTTTCAAAATCTTCTGTTTCAATTCTGTTCATCTAAGAGAAAGCAGTAGTAGTCAAAAAAATAGTGTTTTAGGGACATTTTGCTGACCACAACCATTGTGAATCAAATTCATGTGCCCTGTTCTGGAGAAGGAAGAAAGGGAGTGATAGATAATGAAGCAGATAAAAATACAGTGGAAATCAAAGGATGCTTCTGTTCCATCCATTCTTGATTAAAGCAATGTTTGTTTACTATTTGAGAGAAAGAGAGGAGAAAGGAGGAGAGGCAGAGAGAGGTTATAAAGACAAAAAGGAGAACATAAAATCAAAGCCTCCAGAAATTGCAAATGCCTAAAAAGAACATTTTGATGATGGATGTCTGTGTGCCTCTGTGTGTGTGTGCGTGTACTATATGTCTATGCTTTCTGGCACAGCTCACAGGATTACTAGAATGGGGACAAACCATGCATACAATTTTATGATGTGCATCTTTTACTCATCAACATATCTAGATATGTATGTGATCATGTTAATAATGACTTCCTTATGAATTTGTACCATAATTTATTTCACCAGTTGTATTGTACATTCACTGTGCTTTTAAATTTAAATACTGATTTTTAAATTCTATCTTTATAAAAATCTTGTAAATTTGAAATTATTACATAAAATAAATTCTAAGAAGGAAATTGCTTCCAGCAATCCTGTTTTCATTTAATACTATGCTGCATAGTATTATGTCAGATGACTGTCACAGAAAGTTTACATTTTGACAGTCTTGCTACAGAAAGCCTGCCCTTCACACTGGGCCACTGATCGTATCTCGTATTTCTAATCTGGATTAACCTAGCCATTGAGATGAGGTTTTTTTAAAAAAAGTTATTTTCATTTAATTTTCAGACAAGTTTTTTCTTCAGCCTTGAAGTCCTCAAATCCTTCCATGGGCTTTGATGGAGGTCGTGGGGCAGCACCTGCAGTTCTAAACCTGGGTGGGGGGTGTTCTGTCCTTCTGAGATTCACGAAAACATTTCCTCTCCACCTTCCTGTGAACGGCACAACTCACACAATAGTACAGTTTCACACAGAACTTTGGAAGCTCGTATGCGTCGAAGGCACTCGCTTCAGCAATGTCCCTGGTGGCAGCTGCCTCTACTATATTTCAAATTACAAACTTCTTAATTGCCTTTTCCTTGGACATGCAGCTGGCGCAATTTG